CCCCGCATGCGGGGGCAAAGGGGGGGGAGAGAGTCGGGGTGCACAGCGGGCCCAACACCGTCCCAGACTGCATGTCGGGGGGTTGGGGGGGTCTAGTCACATAGCGTGTTGGGGTTCTTAGGGATTGGCTTGTTTTGAAATAGGATTAGCTTGCGGTTGGGCTTCTTATGACCGTCGGGGTGCTTATTTACCCAGGTGAGAGTTGGCCACTGTGTTTCTTGCACCATCCCCCTGCTGCAGCTGGCTTTGGGCAGAGCTGGAGGCAGGATACTTGGCTAGGGGCCCAGCACTGGTCTGAGCCAGGGAGAAAGGGAGGTCCGGCTTGGTAATGGAGCAGGGAGGAAGCTGTGGATTTCCCTGGTTCTTTCCCTGTTTGGAGCTCCCCTGCGGGCTGGAGGGTTAAAACCAATGAGCTCCGAGCCTGGCCACTTCCCAGAGCGGTGCTGTAAGGGGCGGTTGTAGCTCCTTCCTGTCCAGCCCCCCGCACCTCGCCTGGATTCGGAGTCACTCCCGGTGCGCAGGGGCGAGTCTGCGTCTGCAGCCCGGCCGGGCGGTGAGTGGGGGCGCGGGGGAGACACGGGGAGAAGCAGCCAGAGGCGGCTCCGGGGAGGGAGAGAAACTGCAGCAGAGGCAGGAAATCGGTGGCTGGAGAAAGCGGCACCACAGGGGCGAGGGGATCGGAGCCCAACTGTGGCTGGGACGGAGAAACACCCTCCTCCTCTCCCCAGCCAGCTGCAGGGAAAGCACAGATATTACACACTGGGTTGGGTCCCCAGGGGTCTAGTGGTTAGAGCAGGGGGGGCTGGGAGCCAGGACTCCTGGGTTCTCTCCCTGGCTCTGGCAGGGGCTGGGAGCCAGGACTCCTGGGTTCTCTCCCTGGCTCTGGCAGGGGCTGGGAGCCAGGAGCCAGGACTCCTGGGTTCTGTCCTCAACTCTGGGAAAGCAGTGGGGGCTTGTAATTAGATCCGTGAAGATCTGCGTCTCAGGACTGAGGACAGGGGTTCTCAACTGGGGTTCGTGAGGTTATTACAGGGGGGTTGCGAGTTGTCAGCCTCCAACCCAAACTCCGCTTCACATTTATAATAGTGTTAAATATAAACAAGTGGATTTAATGTATAAGGGGTGGGTCACACTCAGAGGCTTGCTGTGTGAAAGGGGTCACCAGGACAACAGTTTGAGACCCACTGGTCTAGGAACAAGACACAGGTAAGGAGTCTGTAGCCCAGAGGGCTAGCTTGCCTTTCAGCCACAGACACCCGCTTCCTCCTTTCCCTGGAGGTGCTTGACTCCCCCCTGGCCCTGCCCCCACTCATAGGAAGCAGGTGCTGGCTGGCCCCCTGCTGCGGCCCCACCCCCTTCCCTTGCAGGCATCTGGAGCCCCCCCTCCACGTGGCTGCTAGCCCCCCGTACCCTCAGCCCCCACAAGCACAGGGTGGGCAGCCCCAGCGCCTCCAGCCCCCCAAACCAGCACCAGGTGGCACAGCCCCAGCACCTGGGGCCCCCCCAGCGCTAGGCAGCCCCACCCCCCCCCCAAGTCCCGGCCACCCTAGCTCCAGCCCCAGCAGTACTGAAGAGGAATACCCTGCCTGGGCTGGGGCCAAAGGGGAAGGGCAAGAAGGAGGTAGCTTTGGGGAGGACCATGGCTGAGGCCATGCGGGGCTGTTTGGGGAGGCACAGCCTTCCTCGGCCTAATGGACACGCCGCCCAGGCCCCCATTCCACCCCTTCCCCCAAGGCTCCACCCCACCCCTCCTCTTCCTGCCCCCACTCCGCCCTCGGCCCACCTCTTCCTGTCCAGTTCCATCCCCTCCCCAAGTGCGCCCGTCCCCTCTCCTCCCCCCTCCAGTGCCTCCTGCACACCATGGAACAGCTGATCACAGCGGGTGGGGAGGCTGGCAGGGAGAGGGAGGAGTTGATCAGCAGGGCCGCTGGCGGGCAGGGAGGCACTGGGGGGAGGGGGATAGTTGGCTGCCAGGTGGGTGCTAAGCACCCACTAATTTTTTTCCATGGGGGCTCCAGTGCCTCTGTATTCAGCAGTAATGCAAGGAACCTACAGGCCTGAATCCTGTAAGACATTAGCTTCAGCAAGTTAGCATAAGCCTTGAGGCCTATGAACTTTGAAGAGCTAAACTTTGCGCAGATAAACGGCCCAGTGGAAAACCCCAAGTATTTTGGGAGCTGAAAATAGAGTGTTTAAGGGGAAGTTCTGACCACAGGTACACGATCCAACTTCAGAAGTGTCATGGCAACGAATTTACATATATAACAGGTACATGAGCTACATTCGCAGATACTTAACCACTAAAGGGCCATGGCAACGAATTGACATATATGATAATAAGTTGAGATCATTGATATACTAACCCATAGAAGAAAGACAGTCCAAAATTGGAAAGGTAAGGATATACAAATAAGGAAAAAGGGAAATACCCCTACTGAATATGCATCAAACATAGTGTCGTCAGCGTATCATATTGTAAAAGTTCCATCCAGCCCAGGGGCAGTAGGAGACGGAGATGTACTCCTTGGGTTGGCCACTGGAGATGATGGAGAAGTTGATCGTAATGTTCTGCAAGGGCTGGTGAGAGTATGTGGCCGTGCAGATGTACATTCTGTAGTATCTCTACCTACCATACTGAGTTGGGGTGTTTGTGACTGTGCTCAAATGTATTAATAAACTCTATTTATAAAGATAGAAGAGTTCCTATAGTGTGAGTGTTGCAACTGTGCACATTGGGGTTTCCAACTATATAATAATTTGAATAATACAGAGCCTGATCTTGGGGGCAAGAATTTGTCAACCCTCAAAGTGATAATTGGGGATTCTTAAGTAATATATAACCTGTAGATCAGGCTACAAGTCCTAACAATGATACTTTTTTGGTTGATTTTCACTTCACACGGCCAGGAGGAGACCCGGGTGTGCAGAAGTACGTAGATGATAGACCGAGAGCCACCAATTTTGGGGTCACCTGTGCTGGGTCTGCATCTCTCCCTACAACACAGGGGATGGGGGGGGAGGGGGCCTGTTCTCATTTCTTCTGTGGCTCTAATTTCTCTCCCCTCTCCACAGAGGTGATCATCCCCTGGGCTGATCTCATCCCCCCTTGGACGTGCCCCCCCCCCCCCACAGATGGTGCTGCAGGGGGTCCATTGCTGATGCCAGGCGATCCCCAGGGAGATACGGCTGTGCTCCAGCTCAGAGACGGGCCATGGCTGCCCAGGTGGCTCCCCCAGCCGCTCTCAGGCTCCAGTTCCAACCCCCACTGGGATGTGGTCTGGTTCCCAAAGAGGAAGTGGAGGAGCCGGATGCCCACGGACCCGTCGACATGGAGATGCATCGTCTGCACTTCAGGGGGTTCCGCTACCAGGAGGCTGAGGGGCCCCGGGAGGTGTACGACCACCTCTGCCTCCTCTCCCGGGCGTGGCTGAGGCCGGAGCAGCGCTCCAAGGAGCAGATGCTGGAGCTGCTGGTGCTGGAGCAGTTCCTGAGCATCCTGCCCCAGGAGATCCAGAGCTGGGTGGGGGGGTGTCACCCCCAGACCGGGGAGCAGGCCGTGGCTCTGGTGGAGGGTTTCCAGTTAGCCAAGGAAGAGCCCGGAAGATGGCCACAGCAGGAGGTAATTTACGGATGTGAAATCATTAGGGAGTGGGACACGGGGCCTTTTCCCCTCTAGGGGGCGCCAGCTCCAGTCCACCCATGAGGCGGGGGGGACTGGTTGGCTGAAGGGGGTCGGGGAATGGGATACGGGACCTTTCACCTTGGGCTGGGGAGGTGCTGGCTCTGATCTGGCCCCAGTACAGGGGACTGGCTGGCCCAGGAAGTGGAGAATGGGCCGTGGGGCCTTTCCCCTCTAAGAGGCGCTGGCTCCGATCCACCCCCTAGAAGGGGAGACGGGGTGGCTCATGGGGGTGGGGGATGGGGAATGGGGGTGGAGACGTAGAGGCCTTTCTCCTCTACATCTCCAGGTCAGGAGTTCCCATCTGATGGTTTGAAGGCTGGCGGGGAAGGAGTGGGTCTGGCTAAGGTTACAGCTCTTGGTCACCAACTGAAGCAGCGCCTAGGCCCTACGTGACGGGAGAGACCACGGCTTGCAAAACTCCCGTACTAGTGCTAGAGAGGCAATTTCCATACAAGGAATGGAATCCTGCTGCGGAGTGTGGAATCAGCTCGCAAACAGATGGATGAACAAAATGTGACTTGCTTTACTACTGCAGTATGATTGTCTAAGGTGGCTGTGCACAGCAGATAAGGAATAGGATATGCTGTATATCTGTGAACTGTTCTCTCCCATTTCTTTAGAGTTGTATTCAACTTTGCTGTGCAAACCTCATGGGAACTAAATCACTGTTGCAATCGCTGTGCTGCTTGCCTGTGCCTCTGTTCTTTGGATGTTTGGAAGCTTAGCAGGACCTGTCAGAATGAGGATACC